CGTTTCTTTTCCTTACTATTTTATGTGTGTGCTCCTTCGAGCTTGCTTATTTTATCCTTGTATATAACATGTTCCCTTAGGATGTACTTGTTTCTTTCGGATGAAAGTTAGACCTTAGGTTGTAAGTCATGCATGCTAACATTAGGTAGAGATTTCCCTTTCATCCTTGATGTAGGGCCACCATTGCATGATAACATTAGGGGTAATTTTAGGCTAGTATCCCTTAGTTGTCTTCCCCTTTTGCATCCTTGCATCTAAAACTAAAACTTTCTTTTTTAGCAAACCATAAAACATATTAACAAAAAAAATCCTTTTTCAAGGTAATAAAAATACAAACCAATCAAACATGGCATATTGCCTTGAGGGCGTAACTCAAAACCATTTTCAGAAAAGGACATGTTAATTTACTTATGTGCCAACGCGTGAGTCTCCAAACGTCGAGCTACGGCAGAAGGAGGAATTAACATTGTTCTGTTAAAAAACAAAAACAAACAAAACATGTGAGATGAACTACGGTAACTCTGATTCCTAAAAAAGAATACGTAGGCATTTGGGTAGGGCCCGAGCAAGCACAACTTTATTTTCTCTACATTATTTTCTCCTTTCTTTTGCATGCATTCTTCCTCAGTAGTAATCAGTAAGCATAGATTTAGACACACCCATAAGATAGATAACAAGAGTGGATACCGTAGAGTACTACGGGCGTGTGGGGGTGCTAATACCTTCCCTCGCGTAACAGACTCCCTTACTCGATCTCTCAGTTTTAAGACTGTGACTTCTCCCTTCTCATGTTTTCTCGATGTTTACCTTTCCATTCATGTGGGATAAAATACATTCGATGGCGACTGCATTGTCTGATGGTTTTCAGCCGATTGTTTCAGCAGCCACATAGTAATTAACCCCCATACCAGAGGTGTTGAGCTCAACCCCGGGATTCAGCACGCATAGCTTCTTCACCGCATTCTCGAAACTCCCCTTGGAGGAAGCCTTGGCATCATCCATCCCCAGTTGAAAACGAGCGACAAGCTCGGCCCGAGTCTTCAAATCCTTTGTGTTCTCTGGCTCGTCTTTGGCGGGTGCAACCTCGGCAGTCAGGACCACTACCTTTTCCTCCAAAGCTTTATTTTCAAGCAACAGCGTTCTGTGCTCCTCGGAGAGCCTCCCCAAATCCTCCTCGACCAGCTTCCGAGCCTTTTCCTCATCACTCTTCCCCTTCTCAATCGCGGCCAACTTAACCCAATGTTTCTTCAGCTCAGCCTCTTGCGAAGAACTCCCCTCGGTGTAAGCAACAACCATCTCCAATATCCTCATTAGACCACCAGCGTCATGTGCCAACACCTACCACTTTTCTGGGAGATCCAAACCCTCAAGGTGAAGAGACTCATCCCGGGGAAGTTGAAGAGTTGCGCCCTCGAAGAAATCCCTCTCCAGCCAGCAGGGGGCAGGTTGTACTTCCCTTTCCCCTTCTCCCCAGTCAGATCGACACTTCCCTCGACACGCGACCTCTTTTCCTTCGAGGATACTGGAGCGGGAGAGAGGACCCAAAAAGCGTCGACGATATATAACTATTCAAAACATAAATACCCAAATATTTGATAGGATCCTCGCTCCAGAGAAGCTCCTTAACAATTATCAAACCAGGCTCGTATACGACCTCCCCATTCTTGTCCGTTACCGGTTTACCTCCCTGGCCCGCTCGCTGGACACGAGGGATCCGCGCCACAAAAGCGATCAAGACGAAAAATCTCTCCTAGTCCTTGACACCGATCTCCCCCTCCTTCCAGACATAGGAACCTAATTTGTTATCAAAATGCTTCCTCGTCCACTGGAAAGGGAACTTGTAAGCCAGCTTATTCACATGCTCTCCAAACTCGTTCAAAATGAGGGCCCCATTCTCATCATATACCAGTGCAGTCCTGAAAATGTTTAGCATCGCTCTGCTCAAGAAAGGATGCACCAGAATATATTTGTCCTTAAAATGTCAGACAGACTCCAAGTAAGCTTTGAACAACTTCCCGTTGCCCTGCTTCAGGGCAACCCATCCCCACTTACCATCAATCCTGCTCCTCTGGAGATAGAAACAGTAAAAGAACATATGGATGGTGGCCCCAATCTTCAAGTAGTTACAAACGATGTTGAAATCCCGCATGAAAGAAACCCCATTCAAATGCAACTGGGAATGAACCAGTCGAAGATGGAGAAAGACGACCACTTGGAAATCTAAAAAGGGGATTCGGAGGCCCATCTTCTGGAATACGATGTCGTACATACAAATCCACCTCCTATCATATTTGGAGCAGATCCAAATGTCTTTCCCGGGGATCCAAAGCGAATAGTCCCCTCGACCTCCCTCGTCGTGCGCGTATACCTCGGTGAAAACCTCATCACGATGTTCAAAGAAATAAGAAACCCAATCCCAAGGATCTTGGGTGACCCAAGACTATGGGTCCTCATCTTCGTCGGGCTGAAACAGGCCACCCTGATCGACGGGAGCCATCTTTGCGTCCTCTCCCCCTAACTGCTGATCAGATCTATTCGGTTAATCCTCATAAACCTCCTGGACACTCGAAGTACTATAGATATCATCCGTAGAGCTATGAGAGGATCCAGTTTGTCCATATGAAAAAACATCCCCGATATTGTCGACCATAGTACCTGGAAAGCAGAGGATAGAGGTGAGTTGAACATCGTCTCCAGAACCACACTTCCACCACTAATCAAGTGAAAAGGCACTGATAAACATGGACTATATCCCCAACCAGAACCCTCACTAAGACATCTGAGCAAACAAACGCTTCTTCAACAAGAAAGACCCCAATCAGCAAAAACATCCTAAGTCCTAAAGGGTCACCAACAGTGCATCGCAAATGTCAGGAGAAAACCCAAGGCGGCTCTGACGTCTCTATAATTACAGAACCACCATCCGCTACCAACACTCGTCTAAAACACCATAATTGACAAGATCCTAACCCTAACCGCATGTATTTCCAAGGTTAAAATCACGAATATATAAACTACCAAGTTCTAATGACAACGAAGAATTGAAATCTTACCATTCGGAGAAGAAAGAAGGCTGAAAAGGGTGGCGGGGAGAAAAAATATCCAAGAAACAATGGCGGTCGAACAAATAAGCAGTAACGAGTAGGATGACAGAAGAATGAAAAATACAGAATACCCTACTCCTCTCGTATTTATAGCTAGGACCGCCCACGTGTGAGAGAAAAACGCCTAGAGAACCCTAGGGTCGCCATCATTACACCCTAGCCCCTAGGCCATCATTGCGCCGCTTCGTCAGTGCACTACCTGAAACACACTACCTCTTCAGATTCAAAGCTCAAAACGGCCAACTCATCGTCTCCCCACGAGAAAGGCGAAATAGGCAACCCTTATGACCCTCGAAAAAAATGCCCCATCCTATGAGCAGGTGCTAAAGTCATCACTATTGTATCCAGAAGAAACAACTTTGGGGGAAAACTGTTCTGGACTGGCCCGACAGCCTGTGTGAGCCCAGTCTAGATTCCTCCTTCGGTAAAGCGCACACGACACAACTAAGATCTCCTGCGCCCTTCATTTGGAACCATCGGTCGTTTTCCCTCTTACACCTATACTGACCTTTGATGATCGATGAGTGCCTTCCAGTCTGCCCGACTAGGAACTCGGCCAGACAAGTAGGAACCGACCAGACCGCTGCCCGTAACCTACCTCCTCCTTGGGATCAACAACTAGTTACGGGCACACCTGCTCGGTATGACCAAGTCTTGGAAGTTACCTATTTTCATGGATTCACATATGTAGGCTCAAAAATAGGAACCAATAGCCATGCGCTAGGGGCATTATATAAACCCTCACACATCTGAGGGCCATGTATCAATATTCATTATCACCACTAAAACCCTAACATTATGCTTATATCTCTTTGCTCCCACACTTACTTGATCGTTGGAGTACCTTGCAGGTACAACCCCCATTTTTCTTCCTCGACATTACAGCCCGACAGAAGATCATCATCTGACCACCTTACAGGTTCTGATTAACCAATAAGATTAGTTAGTAAGGTCATGGAGAATGGCGATTTTGCGGGATTCATTATTAATGGAAAATGTTTTATTGATATTCTTCAATTTGAGACACTTTGTTGGTTGGCGATGGTAGTTGGAAGCACTTATGGGCTATTAAGGTGGTGTTCAGAGGGTTTAAGTTGGTATCGGGTTTGGGAATTAATTTCCACAAAAATAAGCTTATTGGTATCAACATTAGTCCAAAATTTATGATTATTGCCACTACCTTTTTTACATGCCAAGAGGATGATAAAGAGTTTATTTTCTTAGAATCCCCATTGGTTCTAATCCAAGAAGAATATTTATATGGAAATGCCTTCTCAATAAAGTGAAGAATTAGTTAGCGGTTTGGAAGGGCTGGACGCTTTGCTTCGGGGGAAGGATAATTCTTCTTAAATCAGTTTTGTCTAGTCTCTCTATTTTTATGCTTTCTTTTTACAAAGCCCCAGTCAAGATTATTAAGGAGATTACTACAATTCAAAGTAGTTTTCTTTAGGGTAGTTTGGCGGAAAGTAAAAAGATTTATTGGGTGAGTTAGAGGGATGTTTGTCTTTCGATTAAGAGAGGCCGTCTCGAGATTAAGAGAATTAGCGAATTTGATGCTTTGTGCTATAAGGTCGTAAAAGCATGTTACAGAGATATTAATTTGCAGGTTGTGAATTTCAGAGATTTTCAAAAGAAGCGCAATAATATTTCAAATTTGTGGAGGGATTTGTGTTATCTTGATAAGTATTATCCGAGGAGTTTGTTCTGAACAACTGTAGATTCCGTATCAGTGATGGTTTTTATGTTTCCTTTTAGCATTCCAAATGGGTGGAGGAATTGTGTTTGAAAGAGAGGTTTCCTTTTTATATTCTTTAACTGAGTTGAAGAATGTTTCCATAGCTTGTATGGGCGGTTGGGTTGATGATGGGTGGCATTGGGGGGGGGGGGGGATTCAGTATGTCCTCTATAGTTCATCAGAATGTTGTTGTCACGGTCGAGCTACAGGCGCTGGTAGCCATTCTGTCACCGGTGAAGTCGTGTCCGGATGTTGTAGATTCTGCCTGGTGGGTTGGAGATGTGCATGGAGATTTCACCGTGAGCAACTGTTATGGTATAGCTAGTAAGTTTCGCATCCCGTATGGTCCATGCAACAAATTCTACATGGCTCTTAATTCGAGTTGGAAGGTGAATATCCCGTTTAAGACTAAATCTATTGGTTTGAGGTGTTTTATTATAAGCTTCCAACTAGAGATTTACTTCTTGTTAGGGGTATTCAATTACCTTTTATTGATTGTCTTTGCGTCTTTTGCGGTAACATTAGTGAATCGTTGGATCACTCTCTTTTGTCTTGTAAAGTTTTGGTTCTAATTTGGAGGGAGATAGCCTATTGGATTGGGTTGGTTGATTTTCTGGTTAATTATTTCAAAGAGAGTTTTTTGAAGTGGAGCGCTTATTGTAGGCACAAAAGTGTGAGGGATGGCAAAGAGGGAGTTATTTGGTTGGTAATTTGTTGAAACTTTTGGATCCTAAGGAATGGCATTATTTTTAGGAACGACGATTAGAATATTTTTGATGTTGTGTGGAACATAAAGGCTTTGGTTTGGAGATGGTCTTTCATCGGAAAAATTACACATCCAAATTGTAACTTTTATGAGTTTAGCAAAACCTTTTGTTTTATTTATCTTAGTTTCAATTGGATTGTAATCTTTCTTTTTTTCGAGCCTTGTCTCGATATTTTTTGTAATCGAGATTGAGAACCCTTAATTCTCCTATCAATATATCTTGCTTACAAGAAAAAGTAGTGAATAGTCAATTTAAACTTTTTAAAGGAAATCATGAGTAAATAAACAACGTTTAAAAGTTAATAATATGATATTCTCTTAAGTATATTTAGATGAGAAAATGGATAATGTCGTAAATTATTTTTACACTGTCAATCAATGATAATCATGTAATCCGTTAAGTTAGACTATAAATTTTAAATTATTTATATGATTTGACACTTTAAAATTAGGGATGTCAACAAGGCAGAGAATGTTCAGAGGATGTTTTCCCACTCCCCGTCCACTCCCAAATTTATTCTCCATCCCCGTCTCTATTTCCACCACGGGAGAATATTTTCCCCCATCCTCAGTCCCACAGAGATTCGCGGAGGTCGAATATTAAGAAAATATATATACTTTTCGATCAAAATTATGACATTAGTATTTCATTATTTATTTCTTTTTTTATAAAGCACATATTTTGCATCATTCTTTAAAAAAAAACAAATCTCGCATCAATAAAAAAAGCAAAAGCACTTGATGTTGCTAATATTTTTTCTACAAAAAAAAATATTAACAGAACTTATTGTTACCATGCTTCCGCTAATTTACTATCATAGTACCGCCGTCTTCCGATGCATGTAGTTGATTATGTGTGAGTGTGGCAAATCAATTACTACTAATTTATTAATTGAATGAAAAACATGTTACTAATGAAAGTAAAGTGAGTTTGAAAAGTAATTATCATAAGCACAATGAACAAAGGAGAGTGGTTGCTGTAATGATGAGAATAAAGGTGATGATGAATGGAAGATACAAAGATAATTGAGAAAAGAAAAGAAGGAGACAATGATATTCTATTTATTGGGTAAAATTTTGTAGGGTTGAGTATTTGGGTTGCGAAACAATAAATCATAAAAATTAAATGATCAACTAATGACTCTTCATTTTCTAATACATTAATATTTTTATGTAAAATTATATAATTATATAATATGTAATATATAAAATATAAAAGTTAAATAGTATGTTTGGAGTCGGGGAATTCACAGGGCAGAGGATACTTTCCCAATACCCGTCCTCAAGTATCATCGGGGAAACTTTTCCCTCCATCCATGCGGGAGAACAAATCCTCATCCGAATAGATAATCTCCACAGGGATCCCCGTCAACAAATACAAATTGACATCTTTATTTAAAATATTCTGATTAGATATATGTGTAATACTTCTTTACACTACTGCTCTACTATTAAACTCTATTTAGATATGCTCTTAATTAAATTTAAAAAGTCATGAGTAAATTAATATATGTAGATATTCTTTTAATTACGTTCATAGAATAAATAAGTATATTTAGATAGGAGAAAACTTAGACATAATTTTTTAGGAATTGTTTATACTATTTTTCAATAAAAATATGACAAGTGTATAATTTACTCCTACACATATGTAATTTTCTCCTATTTCTACTCTCTAAAATATATTTAAATATACTTGTCATATTTTCATTGAAAAATAGGATAAATCACCCCTAAAAAATTGTATCTAAATTTTCGTCATTTAGATATTCTCTTAATTAAATTTAAAAATGTATATTTAGATTTGATAATTAAAAAAAACTATTCACATTATTAAATAACCTAAATAAAAATATGATACTGTATATTATATATAAATTACCTTTACTATAAAATCATATCTAACTTTAGAAAAATAATATTTATGCTCATGTTTTTGAAAATTGTAATAATAGTTTTATTTTATATATTCTAATATTAAAATTAACTTTTAATTTTTAATTAAATGGGAAATCATATTATACCAATGAAATCGAAAAAGCAATATACAAGTGATATTCAAAACTATTATACTAAAGGTTTTAATAATAGTAATAATTTCTCTTCAAGTATATAACAATAAACGTTAGGGTTTTATTTATAAAAACCGTTAGGGTTTTAGAAAAATTAGGATGGAATGGAATAGTAAACCTAACGTTAGGGTTTTAAACTAGGGTTTTTCATTCTATAAAAGTTTAGCCGTTTCTTTTCATTTGATACTTCCTGTTTTGCTTTCAGTTCCATGGATCAGTGTCACAACAAGACGCATTTTGGCAAGATGGGACCATCAGCACCTTCCTTGTGCACACCCCAATGGCAGCCACCATCATCACCTTCCTTCTTCTCACCTCCATGGCAGCCACCATCAACACCCCAATGGGGTCTTAATGGTCACAACAACCGGCCACCATCAACACCTTCCTGGTTCACACCCCAAGGGCAGACATCATCAACACCTTCCTGGTTCACACCCCAAGGGCAGCCACCATCAACACCTTCCTGGTTCACACCCCAAGGGCTGCCACCATCAACACCTTCCTGGTTCACACCCCAAGGGAAGCCACCATCAACACCTTCCTGGTTCACACCCCAAGGGCAGACATCCTCAACACCTTCCTGGTTCACACCCCAAGGGCAGCCACCATCAACACCCCAATGGGGTCTTAATGGTCACAACAACCAGCCACCATCAACACCTTCCTGGTTCATACCCCAAGGGCAGCCACCATCAACACCTTCCTTGTGCAGACCCTGGCCCCAATGGGGTCATACTAGTCACAACCAGCCACCATTCAAGGTGGTTTTGAATCCGGTTCAATCAGAGAGAAACATAACTGATTTAGCCACGAAGATTCAGAGGGTTGCAAGAGGGTATCTTGTGAGGAAGAGTGTGAAGAAGATGCTGAAGATAAAGGTGGAGTTGGAGAAGATTAAAAAGAAGGTGAATGATGAAGAAACTGTGAAGATGATAAAGGAAGTGCAGATGGAGAGCATGAAGATCGACGAAAGCCTCACAAATTTGCTTCTTAGGTTGGATTCTGTTAGAGGGTTTCATTGTTCTGCGCTTAGGGGGTTTAGAAGGTCACTAGTTAAAAGAGCTGTTTTTCTTCAAGAATTTGTTTATCAAATTCAAACGGAGATCAAGGAGAATGAGGACGGTGACAATGGTAAATGCGTTAGGGCAGCGATGAAGATTCAGATGGTTGCAAGAGGGTATCTTGTGAGGGAAAGCATGAAGAAGATGTTGAAGATAAAGGTGGAGTTGGACGAGATCGAGAAGAAGGTGAATGACGAAGAAACTGTGAAGATCATGAAGAAAGAGCAAGAAGAGAGAATAAGGATGGATGGAGCCATCATGGATGTGCTTCTTAGGTTGGATTATGTTAGAGTGTTTCGTTGTTCTGTGCTACGGGGGTTTAGAAGGTCACTCATTAAAAGAGCTATTTTTCTGCAAGAATTTGTTGATCAAATTCAAATGGTGAACGAGGAGAATGAGGATGGTGATGATGGTAAATGCATTAGGGCAGCGATGAAGATTCAGATGGTTGCAAGAGGGTATCTTGTGAGGGAAAGCATGAAGAAGATGTTGAAGGTAAAGGTGGAGTTGGACGAGATCGAGAAGAAGGTGAATGACGAAGAAACTGTGATGATCATGAAGAAAGAGCAAGAAGAGAGAATAAGGATGGATGGAGCAATCATGGATTTGCTTCTTAGGTTGGATTATGTTAGAGTGTTTAGTTGTTCTGCACTTCGGAGGTTTAGAAGGTCACTCATTAAAAGAGCTATTTTTCTTCATGAATTTGTTGATCAAATTCAAATGGTGAACGAGGATAATGAGGACGGTGACGATGGTAAATGCGTTAGGGCAGCAACGAAAATTCAGATGGTTGCAAGAGGGTATCTTGTGAGGAAAGGCATGAAGAAGATGATGAAAATAAAGGTGGAGCTGGAGGAGATTGCGAAGAAGGTGAATAATGAAGAAACCGTGATGATCATGAAGAAGGAGCAAAAAGAGAGAACAAGATTCCGCGAAACCATCATGAATTTGCTTCTTAGGTTAGACTCTTTTGCTGTGTTTCATTGCTCCCCTCTTAGGGAGTTGAGAAAATCGCTTATCAATAGGGCTATTTTTCTTGATGAATTTGTTGATCAAATTCAAACCATGCTTGAGGTTGAAGATTTTGAGGTAATTGAAGATGTGGATGAAGAGACGATGGAGGTTGAAGAGAGTGTGGAATCTTGTTTGGTGGAGGAAGGAGATGGAGGGATTGATAGTGAAATGTTGACAAGGATGATGGATGGGAATAGGGAAATGTTAAGAATGATTATGGATTATAGTGAGAAGCAAACTTCAGTTCTTACATCTCTCACACAAAGAGTGGAGCAGCTTGAGATAGCATTTACTTGTGATAAGAATAGGAGATATGCTTGCAAGAAATAGATATAATGGATGCATATGATCAGTTTTACTTTATTTTTTTATCCTTTCTTTGTAATGAAGTGGCTTTGCCAATTTTCTTTTAGTTTTAGAAACGCATTGCATTTTCTTAAGTTTTGGTTTTCTCTCTACAATCAACTTATCAATTTTGTCTATCTTTTTTTACAGCAAGAAACTGTTTTGCTTTTCAGTTATTCAAACTTTTCAATTTTGTTATTTTTTTTAGATAATTGTCAGCATAGAATTATGGAAAAATTTTGTTTGATTGCATCGACCGTATTTGTCCACATTTTTGTTGGAATGTCAAAGATTGTATAGTAAACATAACTGCAATTTAGAAACATGGTTATGGCAGTGTAATTTGCAGCCAATACTAGAGACTGAATAACCCAACACTTGCCAGCAACTGTTACAGCAGAAGCTCGTTTCAAAAGTAAAGATATAGGAGGAAAATGTAAGCAATGATACATTAGATAATTTGATCACTGAGTTCAGACAAATGTATATCTACACTTTTCAATTTTTTTCTTCTTAGGAGTGGTAACTTGATTTGGTGATTTGAAAGATAACTTGGAGAGATGAACTGACGCGTGTTTGAATCCGCCATGCTAACATTACCATGGTTTGAAAGTGTGAATTGTGACCGTTGCAGTGTGAATTTTTATAAGAAAATATTTGAAATACAGAGTTGAAAAACAATTAATGTTAAGTTTTTCATTCCATACGATGTAAATTGAGGTTTAAGATTTTAATATTTTAATTTTTGATGAAAGTGCTTAATATTGCATCCGGGTGAAATTGCGGTTGCGATCTCGTGCATTGAATTCTCTTGCTAAGATTAGTAACTAGTGAAAATCTCATGTATACTCATTTATGAGAAAAAACAGTGAGACGAGATTTGAAATTTAATTTGCTACATGTCACCAGACTTTTCTTAAAATAAAATAAGTAGACTAATTACCAACATTTCCAAAAGATATGACTCATATGATACAAGTGTGAGATATAAAAGTATTATATTTGTTTGAAAGAGTTGAGCTTGCAAACTTTATAAGAGAGGTAACATATATTTAATGTCTAGGTGAAGAAAAAATATCTCTTTCACTTGTATTGTTGCTCTAGATTCAATGTAATGGTTCATCATGACCCATCAGTGGTATTAGGGTCCGTTAGTCTGAGATATTTTGCTTGACATTTTGACATAAATATGAGATATAAGATGTATAGAAATGCTAAGTGCAAGTAATCAAGTCATATTTTTGACATTAGGTCACAAATTCGACACATTGATCTTTTCGATAGATGTGAGTGGAGGATTTAAAGACATTTTCGACAGCAGTGGCCGTTTGAAGCATTTCAAGAGGCAAAGACACATGAAACAAAGAAGTAGACGAAAATTCACATAAAAATATATGTGTCAGATTTTGAAGAGATAATCGTTTGTTGACAGTCGACGATGTACCTAATATATAGTTAGATTTTGACTCTAATCAATGTTTGCATTTCATTTTTGTTCTCTTTAGAACTCATACGTCTGATTAAGTGAAATAACAAGTTTTCTGAGAAATGTATGAACTTGTGTTCCATTTTTAATATCCTTATTTCAATTGCTTTTTCCTGTTTACTTTTTAACTTCCTTTTTTTTTGTTAAATCAAATTCATTTCCTTTATTTCTTTTCTTATTTGCATTCCCTATAAGAAAAACTCAGATTTGTCAGAGGATTTAGTCAGGAGTTAAACCTCAAAAAAAAAAAAACATTGTTTAGAGTAAAGTCCCTCACTAGTACAAATTATAAATAAAAAATTTTAAAATTGTGTGGGGTTACCGCTTGCAAATAGGAAAGAGGGAAATTTTGAGTTTTGAAATGTTGTTTTGCGAGGGGTAGACCCTTGATAATAAATAGCGCCAACGTTGAATTAACTTGTTAGATGTAGTTCCTTTTTGCGATGGGCTACCCCACGCAAAATGACAAAGTACAATTTGTGAAGGGCTCCCCCACGCATCGGAGACAACATAAATCAAATCATTATAGTGTGCAAATTGCGCTCGTAGTCTCCATTTTTCAAGGCGTTCAATTTGTGAAGGATTGCTCCACGCCACTTATGGCTGTTTCATTTGCAAGGGGAGTCCCGTCGCCATTAGTCAATATAATAAATTCACACACCCACCCACCCATCGCTTCAGTATACGTTTGTTTATTTAGAAAACTTTTTTCTCTTCGTCTCTATCCATTCTGCATATACAGTCTCTCCATCACTTATATTTTGTTCTTTTTCCTCTCAATATAAATCAAGTTCATCAATTTTCTCAACTCCAACCTAATTAATTTGAGGGAATTTTATTTAATGATTCACTTATGTATCTATTTTATTTTTTGAATTAATTTATAATCTAATTTTTGTTTTCAATTTTTCAGTTTCATATACCAATTGATTCTTCTCAAGGAGTAAGATTTTGGAGTAAAATTTTGAAATTTTTGAATTCGTGTACACACTGATACAAATTTTTCAATTTTTTTGATATGATATTTCTATCTAGTAGATTGACTATGTATGTAAATATATTTGTTTGGTGTGTTTCTGTTTGTGCCTTATAATTTAAAAATCAATATATATGTTGAAAAAATAGATTATTAAAAACTAAAAATTTGTATTTGTTTTCGTTTTTTTAAACTAAAAAAATATAGTATATATTTATTGATTTAAAAAATAGTATATTTATATACTCTAAAAAATATATATTTTTAAAAAAACAGTAGATTGATTTCTTTAAAATAATAAAATTTATGTTTAATATTAAAAACAATTTTATGTTTAAAATTTTTATGTGTATTAATAAAAACAGTATTTTATTTATTTATAAAACAATAAAAAAAATAACTATATAAACAATATACATAGTATTTATAAAATCAGTTTATATAGTATTTATGTGTATTTATAAAAAGAGTATATAATATATATTAGGGGTGTTCAAAACCAAATCGACCCAATAAAAAACCGAAAAACCGAATCGAACCAAACCGAAACCGCAAAAAACCGCATTTAGTTCGGATGTGTTTGAATCATTTTCTCGCGGAACCGCACGGTTCGGTTTGGTTTGCGGTTCGTATTTTACAAACCGAACCAAATCAAACAAAACCGCATTATGTTATAAAATCTTACTAACCAATATATATTTCTTTAATTCTTTAGAGAAATAAACATGTATTATGTGTATATTTTATCATACTTTGTATTATATTCATTTTAATTTACAAATCATAAAAAAAAATATTATTCATTTATAAATACTATTTTCACAAAATATATTTTATCGTATTCTTTGCATAATATTTATTTAAGAATGCAATATTGTTTATATCATTCTTTAAATTTTGATAAAATTATAATACGCAATTTTATGTATCAAATTATAAACTTATTTTGTAAATTATAAAATTTTATGGTAATGTACGAATAATTAAACACAAAATTATATTTTCCTCTATATTTGTTTGTATGACTTAATAATTTTTTTTGTAAAAAACCGAACCAACCAAACCAATCTAAACCGCATTAGTTTGGTTTGATTTGGTTCTGATTTATTTTTAAAAGCCAACCGAACCAGACCGAACCGCATATTTTTTTCTCTTGTGATTCAGGTAATTTTTTCCTTTAAAACCGCTCAAACCGCACCGCGAACACCCCTAATATATATATATATATATATATATATATATATATATATATATATATATATATATATATATATATATATATATATATATATATATATATATAGAAGAAAAAGTTATTCTACCCAAAATTCCTATTTTGTTTTTGTTTCAAAAGACAACAAGTGGATAGCATATTTCGGGTTCTAATTTATTAATTTTCTCAACTTTCCTCATTTCAATTTATGTGGATGGCCTGAAAAATCAACTCAATTGTTTATTCTATTCTAAAATCAAGTAATGACAGTTTCTTCTTCTAAAATCAAGCATTGCCAGTTCTTCTTTTTATTCTTCCATCTCCTTTTCAGTAACTGTTTCACTTCCAATAACAAAAACGAATCCTCGCTCATTACACTACAACCGTTTCAACTTTCATCTTTTTGTTACATCTCTCTCTTTCTTCTTCCAGGTTATTCTTTGAAAAATCACTCTCATCTCTCTTACAAACAAAAATCAAAAGAATGGTTCAAAGTGAAATCAAGAAAGAGTTTCATGAATCATTCAGAATGGTGAAGACAATGTCGACTATGACTGTTTCAGCGATTTTACGATGATGTGCGGTATCATGATGTAGATCGGTGGATTGATTCAGATTAGGGATCTCAAAATTGAGGATGATGTGTTTCTGGATTCAGATTAAGGATCTCAAAACTGTTTTTCCAATGTCTAATTATGTTGTTGTTGTTTTTTCAATGTCCTGGGTTTTCGACATCGAACCCACTACAGCGCCTAGAAAACGCTCGAGGTAAAGGTTTGTTTCATTGCGTTTTGTACACGTCATTTTTTTCGTATTGGTGTTTGTATTTATTATTGAAAGTGATGATTTTTCTGGAATTATATGTTTTGGCCAATTTGGCACATCAAGGATATAGTTTATGATAAAGTTTCTACAATTCTTGTATCACTGTATTTCTTAAACTTTGATGCCGATTTGTTCTATTGATCTCGAGAGCTGGATCTAGAAGGGAGAATTCTAATTTGGGAGAAAGCAAGTGTTTATAAATCTGTGAAAATTGGCATCGTTCAATATCTATGTTAGATTTTGGTGATTTGTGCTTTTGTTCCACTGCTCTCTCTTTTTGGGAAAGTGGAATCCATGTTTTTCTTATTGTTAACGTTGACTAAAACCTCATCCCAGATGATACCAAACATGATATGTGCAATGCTAGTAGTGATCCTCCAGACTTTTGGGGTTTATGGAGAAAGGCAGTTTGAATGGAGATATGGGTAAGACTATTGAAATCAATACATATATTATTATTTCCACTTTTCTATTTCCGTATCAGTATTTCTCATGGCGACTATACTACCTGAATCCTAATTCTCTTTGGTGTTTGCAAGTACCTTACTAGGAAGTATTCTTAATTTTAGTCATACTTAGGCCATGTATTGCCTTGTGCAATTCTATTTTGTCATTAAAGATAAACTGGAGCCAATCAAACCATTATCAAAATTTTAAAAATTTAAATCAATAGTCTTTCTAACATGGTGGCAAAGAGTTATTGTCGCATTTCTTTTCTCTATGGGAGCATTTAAGGGGTCGCTTGCTCAAGAGCTGGAAAAATGAATACAAGACTATATCATTTGTATAGAGGTATGTTATTTGTGTTTTCTTATTACTCTTTATTAATATATAACTAATTCAGGCCAATAGTTCAACCTTTATTTATTGTTGAATTCCTGCAGTGGAATATCAACTGAACTATATTTATCCTTTTATTTTGTTGCACAGATGATTACAAAACACGTGGAGAGTTATTCTATTTGAAACATGAATCACGTCTCATTAATTGAAGGGTCTACTGCTTCAAATGCTCCTCTAGTAAAGGTGAGTTAAGTTTGTTGTCTTATGAATATTGTTCCTTTTATTATTATTTTTTGGGTTATTGTAAGAAGGATAATCCAATAACTGGAAATTCTGCAATCATCTTGATTCTTCAAATAAATTATGTTGCTAAGAAATATCATTACAATAAGTTAGCCATTACACAAGGATCAATAACTTACTTAATGGTTCAATTTTGCAGTTCCTTCACCCTGTTTGATGAAAGAAAATATGGGTTGCTTGATGCAATAATATTATTGAAGTACTTCTACTTAGTTATTTGATATGTGGAACTTGTATTTGATTTGTCCAACTATTAGTATAGTTCATGTTTGATATCATGGTAGATTTAACAAAATCACAGTGGTACCATGATTTTGTTGAAGCACTTTGCGGTTGATTCACTGATGTTGTTGTTGTTTGAGGTTGTCCTGCCTTATTTGTTTTAGCTTTTAGAGATAAACATATCTTCTGTTTTATTGTCTTATTGCATTTGTATGACATTTTGGTGAGGCTCCATGAATGGTGAGCTTACATCATCGCTAAAGCAAAACTATAATTTACAGTAGTGACAACACTTCTGCTTTTAATTGAAAGTTAGAAATTATATTTAGCATAATTGGAGCATCTATAATGTTTATAATAATGCACATGGTGATAATGTTTGAATTTTTTGGGTTTGCAGTGTAACTAGGGGATTGCATATCATGAGTCTTCATGAAAGAAGTGTAAGTGTCTTAGCATGTCGCTATGTGGACGAGATTATCATTGGTGCTTTTCTTCTGTTACTACTTGGATGAGATGTTGTTGTATCCCAAAATTTGCCCTCTCATGTTTTCCAAAGTTTTTTTTCTCTTATATGTGTGGTTACAAACACTTGCCTAAAGAAAATGAAAATTTTGAATGTTAGTAAAGTGTCTTTCGATTGGCAATTCAACAATGTCCTTCGATTGACATATAAACAAAGTATTTTGATTGGCATCTGAGCAAGCTTCAATTGGGCGTTGGGCCCCCTTTTGATCAAGTTCAATCACAAGGCTTCGACTGCACATTGGTTGCTTCAAGCTTGCCTTTGATTCACAAGGAAAAAACTTCCTCCATGCCTGTTTCTATTCACAAGTTAGTAGTCCCCTACAGACAAGCTTCGATTGGACATATAAAGACCCATTTGAGCAAGCTTTGGTCGACAAGTACCATTCAAGCAGGGCCTTCTCTGTGCTTGCCTTCAACGCATAAGGTACATAACCCCTCTTCAACTTGGCTTCAGCGCACTATGCAAATACTCCCTCTGTACGTGCCTTCAACGCACAAAGCAAGAATCTCCTACAAGTTTGTTTCGATTCACCAGAAGTGAACTCTTGCATACCGGCTTCGATTAGGCGCTGAGTATCCTTCGATCAAGCTTAGTTCACAAAGCTCTCATAGGGCAAAAGGCCCTTTCAGCTTGTCATCAGCACACATATGCCTCTTCATGCTTGTTTTTGGTCTATTAGGCAAAAAGCTTCTTCATGCTTGCCTTGGTTTCACAAGGCAAATACCCATCAACTTACCTTCGATCTACAAGGAAAAATGCTCCTTTCATTGGTCTTTGATTCATAATACAAAGGGCTGCTTCAGACATGCCTTTGATTCACAAGGAAAAAGGCTCCTCTCACTGGTATTCTATTCACAAGGCAAAGACCCCCTCTTCAGCTTTCCTTTAACACACAAGGCCAAGACTCCTTCAGATTTTCCTTTGATCCACCAGGAAAAAAGCTTCCTTCGACCCACAAGGCATTGGCTACCTTTGTGCCAGCTTCGCCTAGGCAATGGCCTCTTTTATGCTTGCTTTAACCTGCCTCATGCTAGCATCCACAAGGCATGGGCTGCCTTTGTGCCAGCTACGACTGGGCAATGGTCCCCTTTGAAACAGTTGTACACACTTCAACACGCATGATAGTCCCTTTGAAGGCACATTCATGTGGTCCCTTCGAAGAAGCATTCATTGGTCCATTCGAAGGACACATAATCATTGATAACAAGTTTGCTTTGTGATGGGTCTTGGTCCTACATGTGGCTAGGCCCAGGCCTCTTGTGCAATGGCACTCGAAGGTGGTGAAAAAGAAGGTTTTCGATTGGCCAGATTGAAGTTTTTGTTTGAGTTGTTTGAATCAAGCAGCTAGGGCAAGTAGATAGACTCAATCGAAGAGGTCCCAATGATGAGACTTGATCCATTTGAAGGGCACACCTTGGTGGACCATTCGAAGAGGGCATAAGGCATACATATGGACTTTTCAAAAGACACTCAGAAAATTCATTCGAAGGAGAGCATTCGAAAGTCATTTGTGTCCACATTCATTCAAATTCAAAAAGAGACAAGAATTCCACACCTTTGGAAAAGTTTCAAATACTTGTTTATGGCTCTTAAAGAACATTATTGAGCATGCTTCATTCTCTCCTACCTTGTCCCCTCCATCTTCTCTATATAAGGGTGGCATTTGCAAGCCTCATGGACGGATACACAACCTGGGAAGAACCACACGAAATTGCTAAAAATTCTCAAAGTTATGAAATTCCAAATTGAATTTCTAGCCACCGTCCATCCAAACCAAGCTTGCCATCCTCTTCCTGAAGATCCCATGATTCATCCCCAACTCTCACTCAAGCCAACACACGCCAGAACACCCTCACAGTATCACTTTGATCGATAACTTTTCCTTGATCTCAAACTTTCAATATATGAAGTTTTAACAAGTTCAATGCACATATTCATGTTTATATTATTGCCTTAATTTGTTCTAACGTAAAGCATGAGAGAATGGATGCAGATTTAGGGACTTTCCATTATTAGGATTTTGAAACGGCCAAGACACGAACAGGACAATACAGACCGTCTCAGACCAAATAAATGTCACCATTGAATTTGTAGACCCTAAATTAGGGGGGTATGGTCATTTTCGTTATTGTTGTGTTTGATTTCTGCAGGTTAGAGATGTTGAGCAACCGGAAGGGATGACCGGAGCCACCACTCTCGGTGGCTTGACCGACGTTGACGCCTGCATGGACGGACATAATGAAATGATTGGTCCGTTCAAATATTTGGACCCCACTGAAACGCGCGTGTTTGACAACTCATCACTATGACTCGTTTTACATTATATTATAATCATTTGATATATACTCCCGGATGTAAAGCCGTCCTAACGGTTGGGTGTGTATGTGTTAAGGCGTTACGTGTGTGCAAGGGCAGGGGTTCGATCCTTGCCTCTTGCATATTATTTTTCTATTTCTTCTTTACAGATCCAGTGCAGCCAGGCTATACACGCGCACCATGTGACACCCCAAATAATCCGATTATTAAATAATTAGAATTTTTAATTATTAATTTAATTGGAAATTTAATTATTGGTATTTTTGAAATTAATTTAATTAATTAAAGGAAAGAAGTATTGGTGGTGTGAAGAGTGATTAGAGGGTGTGAGGGGTAAAATACTCTACTCTTACTAATTACTAATTTAATTATTTTATTGGAATAATAAAAGGAGTATTAAAAGGAAAAAGAAGAGAAAGAGAGTTATTTTGGAATATTCATCATACGTGCATTTGAGAAGAGGAAAAAGAAGGAGAAAACCGGAAGCGTCAGAATTCGAAGAACCCACAAGGTAAGGGGTGATTTCGATTAGTTAATTCATATTATCGGTTTAGATATTCAATAGTATGGATCATAGTATGTTAGGGAATCCCGGTTTGGAATTCTAGGATTCCGTAGAATTGTCCCTATTGCGTCGAATTGTAGGTTGAAAACCATTAGGGTGTCAGATGATAAAAAGGAATGATGAAATAATGTTGTTTGATGTTATAATGGTGTAAAATGGATGTGTTTTGGTGTTTCTCATGTTGCAATTCGTATGGGTATGTTTGGAATTGGTTTAGAATGAATAAATGTTGTCAAAAGTGCAGAATTTGACTCTGCAGGTCGTGGGAACCGGTTCCCAGTGGGGAGGAACCGGGTTCCACTGTGTGAATTTATAAAAACTGGCAAAAATGCACGTAGGAACCGGTTCATGTATAGGTAGGAACCGGGTTCCCATACATTTTTCCAGAAGCGTAATTTTTGAACTTCGCAGGAACCGATTTCTGCATATGTAGGAACCGGGTTCTGCTGTAACTTTTGAAAAATATTAAACTTTGAAAATTCATAACTTTCAAACCGTAAGTCCGTTTTGAGTGCCGTTTTGGACGTTATTTCTTGAATTTAATGCTCTATTTTATAAAATGAAAAGATTTCCTAAAACCTGAAATTATTTTGAAAATGAGTCAAATCCCGGAATAAGTGATTATTGGCTAACGCACATGGGTGTGTATGTAGCAATGAACCTGTGATGGATGGATGTATTAATATTGTGTGAATGAAAGACATGTTTATGTTGTTAATGATGGTGTGCATGATCGTTGAGATATCATGTTTTTGGTTTTGGTTCAGTTATGATAAATTGATGTATTTCATAGACTGATTTGATGTTGCATGCTAGTGATGTGCGTGCATATGCATTGTTTTGGTGAAGTTAATTCTCATTGTGTGGAATTTGACTTGTATTGCCGTTAACCGATACCCGGGTGATGATGAGTGGTTAGGCTGAATTCGTGTCTGGGTGTTTATGGACGAATCGATGGTTGCTGTATTCGGTTGATGATGGATCAGTGTTGGTTGACTTGGTCACGTGTTGGTACCACATGCATTGTGTCTGCATTTGTGTTTGCATGGAATTGTAACATGTTAGGATGTCTTCCAGTGTTACAATTCTTTGGTTGATTATTGATTTGTGCATAATGACTTGTATGATTGGAACTGCGTGTTGAATATGAATTTATGCTAAAATGGGTGAAATAATATGCTTGTGATATAATGTTGATTGAGAAGCTTATAATGCATGTTAATTATGAGAAATCTCACCCCTACTTTAACAATTTCAGATTAAAGTTAGCAGCTCAGGAGTTGGTGAGGATGGCTCTAGAGCTATGTTACTTTAAGTCCGCGTGTCAGTGTCGTGCTCTGATAGGTTGTAACACTGGGGAACGTTTAGTTGAGGAATTAGTTATTATTCAATTGTTTCTTTGAATTTCATTGGGAATAATTATGTTTTGGTTTATTCCGTTTTGGTTATGGTATTTTTCTGCTGTGTAAGACATGGTCTTAAGTTGATTGAATTATTTGAATAATGACCCTCAGTGTAGCATGACTACTGTTTTATTGGAAGTTTTATTTATTTCATAATTGTGACATCCCTTGTTCCGTGTTAACTCTGATGGAATATGTCTTTAATCATTGATATAATTAATATTATTCGGGGTATTTTAGAAGGGGTGTTACACACCATGTAACATCAAATCTACACCATCAGAGGTCAACACATCCAGATCCAAGCGCAGCAAACATGCCCCTAACATGGGCATTCGAAGGACCCTCTCACCAGATCCAATACAGCCTCTGGGCCAGCTTAACATAGGCCTCACATTTTCCAGATTGCACCCCTTTTCTGCCTTGTGTCAAGTCCATTTACTCTTTTTTCTTTATTTATTTGTTTAATTTTTTTTTATTTTAATCATTTTTTTAGAATAATATAAAATCATAAAATCAAAAAAATATTAAATAGATTTAGGTTTCTCTTGAAGTAATTTTAATTTTGTAAATTAATTTTATTAATTATTTTTATTTTATCTTATCAATTTAAAATCAACTAGACTTAGGTCTATTTAATTCAAATATTTTCTTAATAAAAACACAAAAATATTAGAATTAGGTTTAACTTCATTTAGTATTTATTTTCTTAATTAAATTTAGATCTAGTTTAATTATTTTTCTTAATAAATAAATAAAAAACAACCAAAAAGATTTTCTTGTTTACTTAGAATTTTTAGGGTTTTAGATGTATCTTTTTCAACTCGCGCGCGTTCAATATTTCTTTTATATGATTCTTTTTCATATTTTATGTATCTGCTTATGGTATGTAATAGATAATAAATAGGACTTTATCGCTTTCTTTATTTTTTCCTCATTTGAACATGTAAATAGCCCCTCCCCAAAATATTATAATAGCGTAGGATTTAAATTCCCGCACTTTAAATTTCTACAAAATATTAACTGTTAGGAATTAGGCTTGTATGGAAAGACTAATAACATCACAACTAGCAAACCTAGCAAAAAAAGACAAAAATAATTGAATACAACACATTTGCACATATACACCTCTAGGATACTCTCACTTTGGTTGCCTTTCAGAAAGTAAAACAATCATGTCCCTCGAAAATGGGGACGCTTTAGCAAGACCCGTAAATCAAAAGATCATAGTCCCTCGATGACCCTACATTGTTGTCTCTCGGTAAATGATCTCGTCCCTTAAACAAAATTGCTAAAGCGTCTTCATATGTTGCCTTTATGACTGTACGTCCCTTCAAATGTCCCTCATACATCCAACGATAAGGCTACATACTCACTAATAACAGGATAGCACTGTCTAAAGGATAGGAGGAAAAGAATGAACATTTTCGAGTATAAGTAGATAGTTCATAGATGCTTGCTCAAAAAATAATTTTTCACACTTACACAAAGACATTTCAAAAACACTTTCAAAATACATTTGTTTTGTCAACACTCTTGAATACTTATATAAGAGTTATCATAAAGCGAATCGCCGTACTAAGGCATTTTCAAACTACTCTTTCAAAAGACACAAAGCACAAGGTATTTAAAAAATGAGCTAAGCATCTAAGAGCCCGTAGAAAACTACAGATGGAAAATGTGCTAACACGTTTCCTTTCCATAATCTATCCCCCTTACTCAAAAAATTCTCGAAAGGTCTTTTTCTGTTTTTTTTCACCCTTTCATTTGTTGGATAAAAGAAAAGTCGGTGACGACTTTTGCTTACCGCAACATTTACAAACACAAACGCAAAACCAGTATAACAGTCGATTCTGCCACCGTATCACAAATGCATTTTCTCTTTGGATGTCAATATGGTGCCTGTTTCTGTTTAATGAAATGGTTGAGTTATCAAAAAGAAAAAGTTACATGACATTGATTTGTGGCAGAGATAATGAGTCAATAATGTATGAAAAAACTGGCTTAATTGATAATAGTATATATATGTGTGTGGTCCATTTAAATGTATTGTTTTGGAAGTGCAGTTTATTTATTAAACATAAGACTTATTATTTTACAATGAGTAGAGTATTTGAACCTTCCCTAACTAACTTGCAATATTATTATCCTACCATCCAACTTTAGAGGCTCATTTAATGGAATGATAAGAAGCAACCAACTTATCCATAAAATCAGTGTTAAATACAAGCTTATAGAATAAATATTGCATGCTTGTGAGAATTGTAACTCAAGCTTCCCTATTCAGCTTCAACTTCTAAACCACTTTTGTTGATTTCATCAATCATGAGAAAGGCTTTCAATATTCCTTTGTTGCTTCTTGTAGCATTCTTGTATGCTACTACTGCTGTAGCAAGAATTGATCCCTCAGGTTTGTAATACTTACTCTATTTTCTTAGAAAAATAACCAAATACTTTACTAACATGGTACTTTCCAAACTTTTCTTAGGACTTTTCTTCAAACTTGGTTTCATTCATTTTGATCATGTGTTATCACAACACAAAAGCATTAGTGCTTATTATTTAAGAAAAACACTTCTAAGTAAAATATGCATGTTTGAACAGAAAGCAAAACTTAAGTATTAATTGGATACCATTTACTTATTTATACACCTTAAATTACTTCTCCACTTTTTCTTTTTTATGCATGTTAATGTTGAAACTACAATTTGATGATAACTTCAGTTTTCAACATATATTGCAGTGTTGGTACGGTCTGGAACACGGTTTTGAGAAGATTGGCCAAGTCAGTAAAGTTGTTGAGGTGAGACTTTTTAAATCAAAGTGTAAGAGGTGTTGAGATATTATTTGTAGCTTTTATAACAGTTGCAGAAAGCATGTCCCAATGCATACGATGACCTAAAACTTGTACTGGTTGAAAAGTTCTTTCAAAATTTTATCCTGATGGTTGTCTTGTGGTGTTACAGCCTGTTCTTTATTATTTTAATGCATTTCATCTGCTGATACCATAAAGTACTTGTCACAATCCTGATATATGTTTATGTGCACAGGATTTAGATGGCTGAAGCTAAAGTACTTGTCTCAAACCAGATAAATTGAAACTAAAACCAGATAATGTATAGATCATATGTTGACTGTTTTTAATGTGAAGTTACTTTACTATCATGTTAGCCACTAACCCCTATATGAGGAGAAGGAAAAAAAAGAGATCGGTGACTTTCAATCATACTCAATAGTATTGCTGAAAAATATAGTTTTCATCTTTTGATTTGCTTTTTAAAAAAAATTGGATTGTTATCATAGTGACCGATGAACAATAGCAGTATAAGGGATGAGTAGATGCAATTTTGGGTTATGAAAAACATTAGTTATTTAGTATTATCATGAGTAGCAGCAAACGGGAAAGGAAACAACAAACCAAAAATTACAACTGAGGAAATTCACGTCAGCCAAATACTCCCTAACCAAATGATGGCTGATTTTGTCATAAGAAAAAGAGTACAATATTTCGTATCGATGAATCATGAATAACTTTTCAGATTAGTGATTGTTTTGTATTTATTTCTGCAACAGTTTGCCAGAGTTTTAATGGGAACTTCGAATCTTAAGATTCCTTCAAAAAACTCTATTGACAATCAAGAGACCCTTCCTTCTAGGGCATGTTGTGTTATCGTCGAGTTTCTCACTGGTGGAACGCCGAAACAATACTTGATAAAAAACAGGGGGAAGAAACTTGCATATAAGATTGTGGTTCAACTTGTTTTGGATCTCTCCAGAGGGTAGGTCCTTTTTTTCTATTCCTACGATTAGAAACCTGATACATATAGAATGCTAATTTATTTCCCCTAATATGTAGTCTTAGCTATTTGCATTCGAAGAAGATTGTTCATCGTGATGTTAAGTTGAAGAATATGTTGCTAGATGGTAACCAGAATCTAAAGATAGCTGATTTTGGAGTTGCTCGGGTTGAAGCTATGAATCCAAGTGACATGACTGCTGAAATTGGAACTCTCAGATATATGGCTCCCGAGGTATTGATACTCACATGGTGTACATATGCTAATAGTTGCAACTTCCAAATTACTCACATGGTTTAATAGATGGGAACTTGAAGTTGTTAGTTTGAAATATTAACCTATGCTTTACACAATGTGTAGGTTTTTGATGGTAAACCTTACAATAGGACATGTGATGTCTATAGCTTTGGCATTTGCTTGTGGGAAATTTATTGCTGTGATATGCCTTATAAACTAAATTCAATTTTGTGTAGAAATTTATTGTTGTGATATGCCTTTTTGCCAAGCATTTAGATATTTTTAAATGTCAATTTGATTAAGCCTTATAAACTAAATTTCTTATTTAACTTCAATACTTTTTTCAAATGCCGACTTTAAATTCATCATCGTATGACTTTGATAAGCTTCAAAAAGATAAGATATTGACGTTTACTTATCGCGTTCAAGTTGCTGAAATTTACATTTTCTACAAAAAAAAAAATATAAGTATTCATAACAGAATACTCTAGAATAATTATCATACTCTAACGGAATATATGTCCTAAGACAAAACACAAGTTCTCTTAATTAAAGTGATTAAAACACAACAAAATGAAAAAATGAAAAATGTAGTAATACCAATCCTGAGACACAATAGTTATTACACAAAATTATCAAATACTGTGAATACCATCATAAACAATTTCAAGAAGTCATTTTACTAGCAACCGATTCCTCCATGTAATTTGTTTTGTTTCTTTCCATTGGAATTGATAATTAAATAGCCATAAAACATGTGTAGATGTAGTATAAGGTAGGCATGATCATGATTCTGATTTATTAGTGTATACTAATTTATAATTGAAACTTAGATGTAGTATAAGGTAGGCATGATCATGACAAGGAAACTATTACAGAATTTTTTTTTGGAATAATTAGGTATTAAAATTTTTTTTAGTAAATAATCATGTTTCGGAGAAAATTACAGAAGTAACCCTGTTTCAGAAAACTCTCCAAGGGAGGAGCCATCCCACTTGGCGCCTACACCTTATTTTAAATGGGAGGTGTCATCTCACTTGGCGCCTAGGTGTTAAAGGCTTGCCCTAAGCCAAGTGAGATGACGCCTTAGTGCAATTGGGAGGCAATTTTTCGCGTTTTTTTATTTTAAATGCGGTGCGTTACGTATTCGATATATGATCAACAAAATTGACTTTTTATTTACAAAATATGATTACACACATAACAATTACATTAAAAAAATACAGATTAATCAGTGGTCCCACGGAACACGGTAATGACCCCCGATTCCGCATCCCCGTCCTCGCCTTTTCCGTGCTGGGTTTCGTCGTATTTCCTGTTGTGGCAGGGTCGATGGCCCAGCGAAGTCAATGCGTTCCAGATCCATGAAATCGGCCATATATCCATATCTAGAAGATCCGCTTTGGTACAGTCAGTTTCCCATACCCTCAAAGTTTGGTCGTGTTGGTGGTGGGTGGGGTTCCATGGTTGGTCTGTAGCACTGGTCGTCTGAGTACGGGGGATAGAAAGGAAATGGATCTTGGGGTGTTTGGTATTGAGGATGTTGGGTGCTTTGGTGATGTTGTGGTTGATGGTAAGTTGGGTCGGTTGGTTCATAATCTTTGGACAATCCCAGATCAGGGCTGAGGTTGGATGTTGAGGGGCCCATATTGGGATATGCAGAAGACTGAAATTGTGTGTGGGGTATGTGGGTGTATCAGTATTGTGATTGAAATTGTGGTTGGGTGTGAGGCATATGGGGATATTGGTACTGAGGTGGTGATTGTGGTTGGTTGTGGGGCATGTGGGTGTAATTGTATTGTGGTGGTGACTGTGGTTGGGTGTTTGTGGTTCTGTTTCGTTGGGGAGATTGGTGGGAGGTTGATGTGTGTTGGGTTTGTTGTTGGGGGAAATGAGGATTGTGCCTATTGTGTTCGTGGGTCAACTAAATACCTTGGATGAGACACGTGCATTTCAGGGGTAGTAACCGATTTGTACCAAGATAAATACTGATCTGTATGTCGCATATTACCATGGTTGAGGAAAACTGGGAATTGCAAGATATGTCGGTGACGCCTCTGCCACATCTTACACCATTCTGGAGCAAAATCTTTCTAGTTGGTAAGACCCTATTGGGCGTCGACCCTTTTGAGATGCCACAGGGACAAACAAGTCGGATCATCGGGTATCTCTTGATGCATTCCAAACTGCATTTTGACACGGTCGCTGCGGTGCATCTCCACAACATTGAACCGTATGATTGCAGTCTTTGCGCTCCAAATTGCTACATCCTCGGGGTTTGGTTCATGGTCCAAACCCAAATATGGTCTCTAGACAAACTGTGGATAAAATTAAATCAGGTTAATGAAAACGTAATAAATAAATAATTTAAAAGTAGAAAAGTTGAAAGGTATGACGTACATCATCCGGGCCAAGGTGATCCAATAGATTGCAGTATAGAGCGACAGTGAATCTTGGATTCTTTCCGTAATCCATACCCCTCACACAATACCTAAAGAAATTGAAAAATATTTTATTTTTATCATATATTTGGTGAAGAGATGAATAGTAATAAATGATATAAGTTGATGACTTACTTTGTTGCGTATGGGAAAACGAATGTGTTGTTGTTGACGGGATTTATGGGCTCCATCCTCCACCAACCCCAGGCTTGAAGTAAAAAAGCGCAGCCATAAAATGTACATTTTTCCTTGATTGCATTTTTACACAAGGAACTGTATAGATGGGCTAAAACAGGAGAACCCCAACTATACTTTCTAGTTTTTTCGAAGTCTCTAAGTAAATTTAAATACATAAAATTTATACTATTTCCCGTACTTTCAGGAAATAAAAAGATTCCAAATAGTATCATTATATAATTTCTAGCTTTTATTACCTTAGCTAGCTCAGAGGAATTTTCGTTCAATTCCAGAGTCGCATAATGATTTTTTAGCTCAGTAAGTAGTATACCCTGACCTTCACACCAACACCTTCAACCATATCCCTGCCCAACAATTCTTCACACAGAGAATTGAGTTGTTGAACCGACCCGTTAACCGCCTTACCATCGACACGGAGACCCAATAACATGTACACGTCCTCTAGTGTGACGGTACATTCACCTATTGGTAGATGAAATATATGGGTCTCTGGTCTCCACCTTTCCAACATTGCAAGTATGAACTTTGAATTAATCGTGGAGTTGGAGATCTTTATAACGTTTCCGAAACCTGCATATTCGAGATAGGGTACGATCAACGGGTCGGGAGAAAGGTAGTTGTGTGACCGAATTCTGAATCTTTTAGTATCCTAAGTTAATAATGTAAAAAGTGTAAGAGTAGGTAAGATGAATAAAGCATTACTAGAAGTATGAAAAATGTATAAGTATAAAATAAACTTACAAACGCTGCAATGTTGTCCCTTGTGCCTCTGTGAGAATCGCCCATTGTGAGACGAGCCATTGTTGAAAATGTTTGAGATTATGAAAGAGTTTGAAATTGTAAGAGATTATGAAAGAGTTTGAAATTGCAAGAGATTATGAAAGAGTTTGTAGCAGAGAGTGAGACGATTGTGGATGCGATAGAAGTATGTGAGGCTCTGTATTTATAGGCAAAATTTTATCATAGAGTAAGTGAGGTGGTAGGTGGGTGCATGCATGCATGATAAGTGTCACTCTTGCAGTGTAGATGCAGGCTACATGGCAGCGTTGGGGAAGGTATATCTGCATGCATGTAACACGATTGGACGTGATGGGAGGCGCCATTGGACTTGGAGAAAGAGTATAAAAATTAAAGGTGTCGCCATCCCTGTTGGCGAATAAGAAGTGGCATGGGTTATAGTGTAGGCGCAGGCTAGGTGACAGCCTTGGAGAAGGCATCTTTTCATGCATGTAACACGATTGGACGTGATGGGAGGCGCCTTAGAGGTTGACATGGGTTGCAGTGTAGGTGTAGGTTACGTGGCAGCGTTGGGGAAGGCATCTCTGCATGCATGTAACACGATTGGACGTGAAGGGAGGTGCCATTGGACTTGGCGAAAGAGTACAAAAATGAAAGGTGTCGCCATCCCTGTTGGCGAATAAGAGGTGGCATGGGTTGCAGTGTAGGCGCAGGCTAGGTGACAGCCTTGGAGAAGGTATCTCTTCATGCATGTAACACGATTGGACGTGATGAGAGGTGCCTTAGAGGTTGGCATGGGTTGCAGTGTAGGTGCAGGCTACGTGGCAGCGTTGGGGAAGACATATTTGCATGCATGTAACATGATTGGACGTGAAGGGAGGCGCCATTGGACTTGGAGAAAGAGTACAAAAATGAAAGGTGTCGCCATCCCTGTTGGCGAATAAGAGGTGGCATGGGTTGCAGTGTAGGTGTTGGCTCCTAAATTCGACACCTTTGTTTTGTTGAGGTAAACCATTAAAGCTGAAGGATGTCTTCGACTGGCTAAGTCTGTCGAAATGCCCGTCGAAAGATGGCAAAGTACTTAGAAGATTTCTTCCAAGGAAGAAGGCTGGTTGCCTTCGACGTCGAAGGAGTTTCTCGTCGAAGATGTCTCTTGACGAAAGTGTTCGATGGTTCAGAGTGGAGCAGTTTGAAATTCAAGCTTTTGGAGGGAAAACGGTTTCCAGCAGTTACTACGTGCAAACGTGCAAGGATCTGGAGCGTCGAACGTGGAGAACGTGCCAAGTGGATTGATCTCGAAGCAGTGTAACTGCCCGACGGTTACTTGGGATGTTTTAGTATAAATAGTAGTAGACATGTAGTTTCTCGCGTGTGTTCACAGTTCTATACAAAGTCACTCATATAGATTCGAGTACCCAGCGTGTGAGAAAGAATTGTTGAGAAATGTATGTGTGAAACACCAATTTTATTAATCAAAGTCATTTACTTTTTCCAGAAATTTACTTGCTTTCTCCTTTACATTCTTGTCGAACCTTTTACTTTAAAGCCTTGTTTATTTTACCAAGTCTTTCCTTCATGCAATTTATTTAAAGCCTCTTTATTTAAAGCCTTATCCAATTTAATCAAACTTCAAAATCAACCTATGTCCTAGGATCAATCTGATCGATCCTGCGAGTAACCAAATAAGTAACCATTTGGAGGATCAGCGGTTGTTTACCAAAACCCAAGGTAAACAAATTGGCACACCCGGTGGGACAGTGTGTTGATTGTTGAAAATAATCTCATCTTTTCGAGTTGTATGTTATTGAGAAGTGGTAGAATATACACTAACGATAACAATACTGCCAGAAGAAGGGAAGAGATGGCGAATCCGCC